GGTCATGCCACAATCCCTTCTCCTCCATTCTCCTCTTGGGATCTTGGGCATGCACACACACACGCCTGGCGTGAGTTTAAGCCACCAGGTCCAGGACTTGAACCGCGGTCGACTACGTGGGAGTCCAGCGACATAGCCATTACGCTAACTGCTGGTCCCTTTTTCTACATTTTTAATAACATTCAGGTAGAGGACAGCAGTTGGGAATCTATGCTTAGAAGATCAATTGAATGACAGTACCAGGAAGAAGTCTATTGTTCTTCCTTTTAAGAACTGTTCGTGGGAAAGCAGCAGTTGGTGTAATGGCTATGTCGCTGGATCCCCATGTAGTCAACTGCAGTTAGAGTCCCAGACCCAGTGGCTTAAACTCATGCCGGGCACATGTGCATGTGTGCCCAAGATCCTGAGAGGAGAAGGGATTGTGGTGTGGCCATCCCCCCTGGGGGGATGATTTCTCACTTTCCCTTTTGTCTCATGAACTATTCTTTCTTTTGAGAGAGAGAGATTTTTGCTATAGGGCCGTGCATTCGCCAGACAGACAGAGAGAGACAGAGAGACAGAAAGCGAGAAATCATCCCCCAGGGGGGGATGGTCACACCGCAATCCCTTCTCTTCCATTTTCCTCTCGGGATCTTGGGCGCGCACGCACACGCGCCCAGTGTGAGTTTTAAGCCACCGGGTCTGGGACGTGAACCCCAGCAACATAGCCATTATGCTAACTGCTGGTTCCCAAGAATTATTATTTCATTTTATTTTTTAAAAGAATTATTTTATTTATTCATTTATTTATTTTAATTTGACCAGAGAGGGACAAGGAGAGATAGAGCAAGCAAGAGAAAGCAAGCCACCAGGTCGGGACTTGAACCGTAGTCAGCCATGTGGGAGTGTCCAGCGCCTTAACCATCACACCACTTGCTGGTCCCCAAGAATTATTTTTTATAAGAAGCTCATGTGCCCTTTGGCAAAACTGTAAAAAAAAAAAAAAAAAAAAAAAAAAAAAAAACACATTTAAGAGTTTTGTTAGAGATATTCGTAGAAATAAAGAGAAACTCGCTTAAAAATTTAACCCAACTTGGGGCTAGCAGATGGTGTAGTGGTTACATTGCTGGACTCCCACATGGCCAACTGTGGTTCAAGTCCCAGATCCAGTGGCTTGAAAAATCACACCAGGCGCATGTGTGTGCATGCCCAAGATCCTGGGAGGAAAATGGAGGAGAAGGGATTGTAGCATGGCTATCCCCGCTGGGGGTGATTTCTCACTTTCCCTTTCACTTTCTCTGTCTGTCTGTCTCTCTCCTTTGTGAGTACATGTGCCCTAAGACAAAAACCTCTTTTTTTTTTTAAAAAAAAAAAGGGTAGGTGGTATAGTGGTTAAAGCACTGGGCTCCCATAAGGCTGACCATGGTTCAAGTCCCAGACCTGGTGGCTTGCTTTCTTACTTTCCCCCTCTCTCTCTGGTGAGCACACATGCTGTATAGCAAATTAAAAAATAATCATGATGGGGACCAGTAGGTAGTGTGGTGGTTAATGTGCTGGCACTCCCGAATGGCTGACCACAGTTCAAGTCCTGGACCTGGTGGCTTGCATTCTCACTCTCCCTCTCTCTCTGGTCAAATTAAAATAAAATAAATGAATAAATAAAATAAAATTTAAAAGATAATAAATAAAATAAATGTTAAGGGACCAGCAATTGACATAATGGCTATGTCACTGGACTCCCATATACTTGACTGGAGTTTGAGTCCCGGACCCAGTGGCTTAAACTCACGCTGGGCGCATGTGTATGCATGCCCAAGATCCCAAGAGAAGAATGAAGGAGAAAGGACTGTGGCGTGGCCATCCCCCCTGAGGGGTGATTTCTCACTTACTGTCTGTCTTTCTCTATCTTTCTGGCAAGCACACATGCTCTATAGCAAAAACTTCTCCAAAACATTTTTTTTTTTTTAAAGAAAGACCATGTTGGCTTTTTACCTTTTTTTTTTAAAGAGGTTTTTTTCTCTAGTGTGTATGTGCTCACTGGAAAGAGACAGAAAGAGACGAAGAAGGAAAGTGAAAAATCCCCCCCCCAGGAGGAATAGACATGCTGCAATCCCTTCTGCCTTCTCCTCCTTCGCAACACACACACATACACACACACACACACACACACCTGGTGTGATTTTTC